CTGAAATACCTGTTCTACCCGAGCTGCTTCCTCCCGTACCTGAAGAAGACGACGGTGAACTACTTGACGGGCTAGGTCAAGGACGCGAAGTTCAGCTAGAACCACCGCAGAACCTCAGGACGGGCGAAGGGGGCACGGCAGGTCAGCAGCAGGACCAGCAACAAGGAGGCGAAGTTCACCCAGAACCAGCGCAGAACCTCAGGACGGGCGAAGGGGTCACTGATATGCAACGGCAGCAGTCACAGATGTCCACAGAACCAGAGCCACAGCCGACACCACACCTTGGTCCACAAGTACCTCAGGGACCGGCTTCTTCGTCTACAGCTACGGTGCCGACTCCTTTTCACAACCCGGACCGGCTTGACGACTACACTCCGGTGCGCTCACGTGGTTCCCGGCTGCCCTTTGAGAACCCCTACCTGGCCGAGGACTTTGCGTGGAGCGAGCCCCCGCTCACCCAGACAGTGCGGGAGCTCCGTTTGAAGAGGATGGTGAACGGGACCGAGGAGTACGAGATCGACACCGAGGAGGACACCGAGGAGGAGCCAGACCTTCTCGCTCAAGGACCTTACGCCGGAGCAGCGAGAGGAGTACCAGCACTCCATGGAGAAGGAATGGAGGTTCTGGGAGAAGTTCAACGCAGTGGAAGTCTTGACCCAGGAGCAGATCCTCAACTTGCCCAAGGACGTGCGGGTGATCGGCACCAGGTGGGTTCACACTGACAAGAACCAGAAGCAACGCCTCCTCGCTTTGCACCTTCGCTCCAAGACTGGCAAGACCAAGGAGCAGATCCTCAAGGAGTACCCCCTCTCGGCCAAGAGCCGGCTGGTGGTACAAGGGCACCAAGAAGATCCAAAGGACATCCGCTCCGACAGCCCGACAGCTTCCCTGCTGGCCTTTAACTTGGTGTGCGCTGAAACGCTTCGCAAGCATGGGTGGCGCATGAGCGCTATCGAGGCAGCCCTTTTCCTTCTTTGTGATGGTGACAAGCTTCTCGGGATCCTTATCTCCCACGTCGACGACCTCTTCAGTGCCGGAGAGGGCAAGGCATACGAGGCAACCCTAAAGGAGATGGAGACCGAGCTTCACCTTACCATAAAGAGGGGAAGCTTTCGCTTCTGCGGGAAGAACATCCTGCAAAAGGGCGGCGAGATCTTCATCGATCAGATGGACGCCATCGAGGGGATCGACTACATGCTCCTGCCCAACGACCGCCGCAAGGCCGTGAACAGCCTCCTGACCGAGAGCGAGAAGAGTGCCTTCCGAGGGCTCATCGGCCAGATGGGCTGGGTGGTCAGGCAAAGCAGGCCCGACCTGATGGTCAACGTGAGCCTCGCAGCCCAGTCAATGGGGGCCCCGCGTGTGTCCGACGTGGTCCCAACAAGGCGGTCAAGATGCTGAAGGGTTCCTCCGGAGCAAAGTGGTGCTTCAGGAAGGGCGGCCTCTCCCTCAACGAGGCCATTGCCTTCACCTTCGCCGACAGCAGCCTCGCGAACCTCGAAGGGGCTAAGAGCCAGTGCGGGTTTGTCACCGGGCTAACCAGCAAGGAGATCTACGAGAATGGCCCGACCCGGATCTATATCCTCGAGGCCTTCTCTGGGAGCATCAAGAGGGTGTGCCGCAGCACACTTGCTGCTGAAGCAAATGGCTTCTTGACGGGAGCCGAAGCGGCGGAGTATCTGAGGATGCTCTTGATGGAGCTGGTCCACCCTTCGACCTCCATCCGCGACCACGACCAGCACTACCTCAAGGAGAAGGTCGCCTGCTTCACGGACGCCCGGAGCTTGGAGCAGACCCTGAACAAGGACGCCGGTCAGCCAGCAGACAAACGTGTGAGGATCCTCGTGGCCCAGATCCGCGAGATGATCGGGGAGAACACCTTCCAAGACGACGCCCCAGGCTACGCTACCTGGGTGGAGACCTCCCAAATGCTGGCAGACTTTTTGACAAAGGAGGGCTGTGATCGTGATGCTCTCCTCTCTGCCCTCGCCGAAGGTGAATGGCAGCTTGAAGCCAAGCCTGCCGCAAAGGAGAAGAAACTCCTGATCCAGGCGGGCAGGCATGCTAGAAAAGCCGCCTCCAGACAAGCCGAGGACGGGTGTAAATCGTGAGCCTTAGCAGAAGCGCAGGGGCACACGTGATGGCTGACGCCGTTGCTGCGGCTCGACTGGAGGGCGCCCTTATAGTGAGAAAAGGATTGCTACCTCGCTTCCCCCGCGCCGCCGTGGGGATTCTGAAATTGTGACTTGGTAAACTTGCGCGCGATATTCGCGAAGGCCATGAGGACATGTTGATGGACGCGACTGGCGAGCATACTGCTTGCATGACTCGCCTTCCCAGTTAAAGATCCGAGATCGAATTGAGGCTGAGGGGGTTCTCCTCCCCAATCCCCGTCTCGTGGCCCTGTCGGGCTGCCGACATTAAATTTCAAAAGCCTTTCGGCTGTTTTGATGCGTTGACGGGCAGGGCAAGATTTCACCGGTTCCAAGCGGCAGGGAGAGGAGGTTTCAGCGCGAGCAGGAGACTCCGTCGAGCGAAGCAGGAAAAGGGCAAGCCAAGGCCACGGGCAGCAAAAGTCAAATCGCGCCTACCTGGACAGCTCTGGGTGCAAACAGGAGTTTCCGGAAGAGATTCCACGCTCTCGTTGTTAAAGCATGCGTGTTCGATCTTTTGGACGGAATGTAGCTTTCTCTCAAATTGAAAACGTCATCAGATAAAAACGCGCTCAAGGCGGGCTTGTCGCTCAAGTTGGTTCCTTCTGCCCTGATGTCGCACACTGCCTTTTGCATGTAACGCCAATCCACAACCCAGCCATAATGAGCCGGAGTTTTTGTGAGCAGCAGTGGCAGTCGCACGAGGCGCCAGCAGTCCACTTCCACTATGAATCATGAATCCCGCACATGCCTTTGATTGGAAACCCTCCTGGGTAAAGCCATCTCGCCTGCAAATGCAAAGGCCGTGTTTGCAAAGATGTGTGCATGCTCTCCTCACCCCATCCCCGATACGGCCCCTTGGCCTGCTCAAGTCGTCGAGTCGTCCACCTCCGAGTGCGGTACGTGGGCACCCCTTGTAGTGCGTCAGGTGCGACACAAGGTATCTGGCACAGAACGATAGTTGTAGAGTGGCCCATCGGGAGCTGGCGGCTGAGCTGAGGGGTCGCTTCCGAGTGTGCGCTTGCGTCCTTCCATTTTTGCAAGGCTCGGAGTATGATGATGGCGGCATAGCATAGTCAGCAGAGTTTCGGCCTGCGGCTTGGTGCTTCCTGGATTCTGCCACGCGTGCTGGGAGTAGAGGAGCGAGGGCAACACTCCGTGAAAAATGCATTCGGGATGCACTGCCGCGCATTGGCGATGCAGGCTGCCAGGCCAGAGCGTGATATCCTTCGATGCAGCCAGGCTTTATTTCTGGAGTTCCTAGCTGCCCCAGGTAGCGCGTCTGCAGCTGCTTGATGCTCCTGGTGCTGGTGGCGAGCCAGGACCTCCGGCGAGTTGCCGAACACCGCAATATATGAGCATTTTCTTCAAAAATGATATTCATAGGTGCAGCAAGGCTGAACACCCTGTTGCTGGTTGCAGTTGGAATTGTTACCGGCGGCGGGTATGAGAAGTATGTGAACGGTGAAGGCGGCACTTGTGAGACCACGGCATGGCAGTCTTCCCACTGTCTGCACTGAACCTTCAACTCTCAGTACTAAGTATGTTGACTCGTGGAGCATTGCATATGGGGAGATGGCAGCAGTGCAGCCAGCACCATTACTGCAGGACAGCAGACCGAAGAGCAGGAAGAGGCCTGCCCACAGCGTTTCAATCATAGTCAGTTGGGTCTGCAACTTACGGAGGCGGTGGTTCGTGTAACTTTCGTAACTGTTAACAGACCCTGAAACAACAACACCCAGTGCATTAAAAACGGGGCCGAAACTTACGATGCTGGACCTGCTAAAGGGCATGTGTGTTGGACAGAGCAGCTTCTGACAGCGGATCTTCCCGGGCAATCAAACGGCGCACATACATGTTGGTTTGGTTTTTTGCACGAAGACGAAGGATGGCATCCCTGTACTGCAATTGCTTCTACGCTTGAAGTAGTGGCGCAATGCCATAACAAGATGCTTCTGATGAATGTGTGTCGCACAGGTTGAGTGCGACAGTTCTGAAAGTAACTAAGCTGACAGCAAGCATCCTGTCAACAAGCGTGCCGACGACGCAAAAGCCATCAAATCAGCAAGCGGTGCAACGCCATGTCTTGGACAAGAACGTGTAACATCCCCGGCGAAAGCAAAGAAGCCACGATCTTGAGTTGAAGTCAAGAGATTGCAGGAAGTCCGAAGGCAAAAGACAGGGGCTACCGTCATCCTGGGGTTTTCCAAACTGGAGGGTCCCTTACTGCCGAGTCCTAACAGCAAGGAGCTAACTGTTAGAGTGTCTTTTCGGCTTGCGTGATTTCGGCAGGCTTTCGTTTGCTTGTTGCAGCAAACATGGCTTGTGCCCCGTGATGCAGACACAGTGGCAGAGCAGCATCGGACAGCTTCGAAGAAGACCGGAAGGCCGGTCACATTGGCCAAATCTGCAGCGTTCATGACTTCATAAGCGAGGAGTACCGTGCTTGCAGAAACATCATACCGCGTTACCGGACATCTCCGTGTGCAGGACGTTTTCCCCCCGGAATCCAGGCCTGTGGCGGTGAGACCGCCAGCCGGATCAGGAGCTGGGTGCAGGTGTCTCTGAATTGACGATGAGGAGTGGCACCACGATGATTATGATTCCGATGATGGTCGTTCGGCGATGCTGTTGGAGATGGCATGTTGCGGTTGTTGTTGCGACAGCAACTCGAACGGTTCAAGCTTGGAAGGACTGGCAGCAGCTTGCAAGCGCCGTCTGGTAAACACAGGCGAGCGGTACTGCTGCAGCGCAATGCCTTGCATCTTATGTTTGGACTCGGAAGGCTTTCTTGGTGGTCAATCGCCTTGGGGCTGCAGCATTGCAACCCGAAGTCCTGTAGGCCTGATGGAGCGACACGAGCAGCAAAGCGCCGCCGTCGAGGTGGGCCTTGTCTTTGCTTCGTTGAATAGCGGTTGGCGAAACTCATTCAGCGAATATAGGGGCCTCAATAATTAGCATAAGGTTTGGGGGCCCATTATATGTTATGTTATTATTTAGGCCCCTATATTCTTGTGCCTGGATGTTTTGCTTTTCCGAGGCTGCCGTCGATCGACGGCCGTGCGCAAAGCCGCGTGCCCTGCCGTCGTTCTAGCACCATCTCGACTCCGTCTTGTTCCAAGGTCTCTAGCTTGCCAGTTGGACCCGAGCAAGGCTGGACCGCTTTCAACAGCACCACTTTTCAAGCCTCCTCAGAAACTTCTGGCTGCAGGTGGCAGATGAGACCAAGCGGGTGCTGCGCTTGAAATACCATAGGCAGGTTGCTGGTCACATTCCACAGCTCAGGCTGTGTTGTCAAGATTTGGACGTCGAGTCTGCACCCGCACAGGGTCATCAGCCCTCCGACTGTGTACCTGAACTACAAGAGGCGCAAGTGATCGCAAGCAGTTGATCAGATCTGTTTTTAAGACTCCCACTCGGCGGACTTCTGCAGGGCAGCCGTGGACATCGACTTGCAGGGCAAGGTGGAAGGGATTCCGATTGTTCCGACTTGCCATTGCTTTTGGAGTCTCGATCGAGCTCCGTCTTGTTGCAGGAGGTCCGACTCCACACAGATCCTGTTCTCCAGGTCCCTCTTGCATCTTTTTGGCTGGGTTCCAGCATGACGGCCAGGTACACTAGCTTTCGGAGTTGAGATGCGATGAGTTCACTGTGTTGCGTCATCGATGTGAGTGGGCAGGAGGGGCGGTTCGTGCGGCAGCGAGCCCGAGAGCCACACTTGCCTCCAGCTACAACCCAAGTCCGCCGAGCCCGTGGGTTTTGCCTGACAAGTTTCGCAGTGTAGGATTGAACACTTGCTTGTATCAAGTGCTGTACCTTTGGTCTCCGGAAGCGTCAAGCCCGCGTTCTTCAATGAGGCCCCGGGAGGAACTCATTGCTTTCTTCCAGCCTCAGGCCTGGTTTTGGCTCTCCCTAAGCTTGGCCACTCTAACTTGATGTCTTCAGCAGTTTCAGGGTGTTTCAGGTTCTCTTCTCAGCGTGTAGCTAGAGGCCGTGCGTTTCCTTGACTCGATTGGGGCACCCCACTCGGCCACCGCAGTTGGGGGGAAGCGCACACCGCTTCCAGCTCCTTTCTTGTTTTGGAGACGCATAGCTGTTGAGGTTCGGGGACAGGTTATCGGTTTTTTAGGGTCGTGGGTGGGTGTCTCCCACAAGTGGTTTTTCCCTGCATCTGGCAAAGGGTTTGCGAACAGTTTGTCAGACGTTGGGTGGGTGTTGTATAACAAGTTCCGCGGTGTAGGATTGAAAACTTGCTTGTATGAAGGTCTCCGGAAGCATCAAGCCCGCCTGCTTCAATGAGGCCCCGGACAGGAACTCATGGCTTTCTTCCAGCCTCAGGGCTGTGCTCTATGTCTTCAGCAGTTTCAGGGTGTTTCAGGTTCTCTTCTCAGCGTGTAGCTAGAGGCCGTGCGTTTCCTTGACTCGATTGGGGCACCCCACTCGGCCACCGCAGTTGGGGGGAAGCGCACACCGCTTCCAGCTCCTTTCTTGTTTTGGAGACGCATAGCTGTTGAGGTTCGGGGACAGGTTATCGGTTTTTTAGGGTCGTGGGTGGGTGTTGTATAACAATTTCCGCGGTGTAGGATTGAAAACTTGCTTGTATGAAGTGCTGTACTTCCGGTCTGCGGAAGCATCAAGCCCGCCTGCTTCAATGAGGCCCCGGACAGGAAATCATGGCTTTCTTCCAGCCTCAGGGCTGTGCTCTGGCTTGATGTCTTCAGCAGTTTCAGGGTGTTTCAGGTTCTCTTCTCAGCGTGTAGCTAGAGGCCGTGCGTTTCCTTGACTCGATTGGGGCACCCCACTCGGCCACCGCAGTTGGGGGGAAGCGCACACCGCTTCCAGCTCCTTTCTTGTTTTGGAGACGCATAGCTGTTGAGGTTCGGGGACAGGTTATCGGTTTTTTAGGGTCGTGGGTGGGTGTCTCCCACAAGTGGTTTTTCCCTGCATCTGGCAAAGGGTTTGCGAACAGTTTGTCAGACGTTGGGTGGGTGTTGTATAACAAGTTCCGCGGTGTAGGATTGAAAACTTGCTTGTATGAAGGTCTCCGGAAGCATCAAGCCCGCCTGCTTCAATGAGGCCCCGGACAGGAACTCATGGCTTTCTTCCAGCCTCAGGGCTGTGCTCTATGTCTTCAGCAGTTTCAGGGTGTTTCAGGTTCTCTTCTCAGCGTGTAGCTAGAGGCCGTGCGTTTCCTTGACTCGATTGGGGCACCCCACTCGGCCACCGCAGTTGGGGGGAAGCGCACACCGCTTCCAGCTCCTTTCTTGTTTTGGAGACGCATAGCTGTTGAGGTTCGGGGACAGGTTATCGGTTTTTTAGGGTCGTGGGTGGGTGTTGTATAACAATTTCCGCGGTGTAGGATTGAAAACTTGCTTGTATGAAGTGCTGTACTTCCGGTCTGCGGAAGCATCAAGCCCGCCTGCTTCAATGAGGCCCCGGACAGGAAATCATGGCTTTCTTCCAGCCTCAGGGCTGTGCTCTGGCTTGATGTCTTCAGCAGTTTCAGGGTGTTTCAGGTTCTCTTCTCAGCGTGTAGCTAGAGGCCGTGCGTTTACTTGACTCGATTGGGGCACCCCACTCGGCCACCGCAGTTGGGGGAAGCGCACACCGCTTCCAGCTCCTTTCTTGTTTTGGAGACGCATAGCTGTTGAGGTTCGGGGACAGGTTATCGGTCTTTTAGGGTCGTGGGTGGGTGTTGTATGACAAGTTCCGCGGTGTAGGATTGAAAACTTGCTTGTAGCAACTGCAGGGCACAACGTGGTTTCAGTCAGATTGATCGCTTTGGTGGCGACGACGCTGCAGCCTCAGGCCTTGCCAGACCGCACTTTCGGTTCCAAGTTGTCGCTCATTCTCTTGGAGGCCCATATAGAAAATCTGCTGCGGATGCTGGCCATGACTATTTTCATGTGTTCGGTAAGCGCAAGGGTGGGAATCTGCTGATCAGACGGACGCAAGCCCACGCAAACATGACGGTACGTGGTCTGGTGGGTTAGTACAGACACGGCTGTGAGCGCCAGTGCGTGTGTATAGAAGCTTACATGTTTAATTAAGAGTGGGAAGACGTCCGCTGATTTGACGGGGGTCTCTCTGAACACAAGCCCGTGTGGATAGGCCAGTCTGTGTTGGCATATGCTAATGATGGCCTCCCAAGGCATCTATTGGGCAGATACGTCTGTCAGTGCAAGTGCGCGTGTGTAGGATGCTATTCGCGAAGGCAGCGGTGGGAATGAATCCGCTGATCCGATGCGGAAGGTTCATTGCGTTGAGTTTTAGGTTTACTTTTGTGGGGTTTAGCTCTTCTCAGCGTTTATATAAACACAAAGCCAAATAAAGACAAATAAAAACAAATGAAGACAAATCAAGACAAATAGAGACAAATAGAGACAAGTGAAGGCAAATAAAGACTGTAAACAACTTTTAACAATTCTCGAAAATTTTTACACTCCTTTTCTACACTTCTAAATACTTTAAAGCATTAAAATTCAAATAAAGCCAAATAAAGCCAATTAAAAGCTTTCAAAGGCAGATTTGACTTCTAAAAACAAACAAAAACTCTTAACAAACAAATCCAGGCTTTTCACAAATTAGACAAGTAAACACATAAGCCGGGTGCGAGGAACCGCCAGCAGACAGGTGCAATTGCGCAGCAAATGTAAGTGTTTGTGTAGGAAAAACCATAAAGCAACCAGTGTTTGTGCAGGAAAAAACATAAAGTAACCGCTTGCTTTATGCGTTTTCCGTAGAAAACCCACATGTCTACAGGTGCATTTGTACCGCTAATGTAAGTGTTTGTGTAGGAAAAACCATAAAGCAACAGCTTGCTTTATGCGTTTCTCCATGGAAAACCGACATGTCTTTAGGAACCACCAGCAGACAGGTGCATTTGTGCAGCAAATGTAAGTGTTTGTGTAGGAAAAGCCATAAAGCAACCGCTTGCTTTGTGCGTTTTTCCATAGAAAACCCACATGTCTATAGGAACCACCAACAGACAGGTGCATTGGTCAGCAAATGTAAGTGTTTGTGTAGGAAAAGCCACAAAGCAACCGCTTGCTTTGTGCGTTTTTCCATAGAAAACCCACATGTCTACAGGAACCACGAACAGACAGGTGCATTTGTACGGCAAATGCAAGTGTTTGTGTAGCAAACCGCTTGCTTTCTGCGTTTCTCCATAGAAAACCGACATGTCTATAGGAATCATCAACAGACAGAGGCATTTGTACAGCAAATAAATGAGTGTTTGTGTAGGAAAACCATAAAGCAACCTCTTGCTTTATGCGTTTTTCTATAGAAAACCGACATGTCTATAGAAACCACCAACAGACAGGTGCATTTGTACCGCAAATGATGTAAGTGTTTGTGTTATCCTGCTGTACATGCGATGTTCTGCATTTCATGAGGATATTTCATGTGTACTTTCCTTTTCTTGACACATTTTACTGTTTTCTCGCAGGGGGCACGGCGCCACAGTTCGAGCCGTGCCAACGAAGCTGAGAACTGTGGTGGATGCACTCAAGGACGCTTGAGTGTGTACCTGCAAAAAGCTGGGGCCCCCGAGCCAGCGAGATTAGCAAAACTGTTTCTTTCGAACAAGGCAGGTTTGCAGGTTTGATCATGTTTTTGCTTGTTCTGAAACTTTGCACGGTTGCCGCAATCTGTTTGCCACACAGATGCTTGCTCCAAAAGTCGTTGAGTTCATGCTGGGTTTGTACCCACAGGATACAGTGGATCCAGAGAAAGTTGCTATGGCAAATCAAATTCAGTTGCTTCAACAGCAGCTGGCGAGTCTTGATAAAGCCTCCGGAAGACTCCCGCCTCCAGTTCACGTGATGGTTCCAGTGGACTACCAATTGCAGCCGGTTCTCCGGAGCTGGGCCCATCTACATTGAAGGGCCCTGATGGATCTACACGTTTGCTCCGCGGCCCACCGGATGAGCCCAAAGGATCTCTTATGCAGGCCTTCCAAAAAGGCAAGCCGTCCGAAAGCAACACGGAGCCACTCGGAGGTATTGATACCAGACTTGAGTCTCATGCCACTGGATCAGGTGAACAGAAGTTGGAGTATGGAACGGCTTCGCATGTTACACAGGTCGTTCACAATGTGGACGACGCCAAGAAAGGCTTTCTCACACGCTATTGGAAGACTTGCAAGTCCGACAAAGAAGTGACCGCGTAGATTGATGGTCTGACCTTGAGTAAGGCCAACCGCACGAAGTTGGCAACTTGGACATCCCATGTCCAAAAATGGCATTCAGACCTTCCTGCCACTGAGCAGGCGACTCTCGATCAGGTTATTGCCAACTGGGGCGTCCCGATAAGGGATGTCGCCAAGCTTAAAGCAGGCTCTCTATTGCGCATCTTGGCTGTCGGCACAATACTGGTGGCTTGACTACAGACTGTTCTGGACGAGAAAGAGAGGTTTCGAAGCTGCCATCAGCCACATGGATGGTGGCATAAGCGCCGAAGTGACGTGAACTTGCTTCGGAATGCGTATTTATTTTTCCAAGGCATCTTCGAAACCCCTACCATGTTCGGACAGGTGTGGATGGATATCGTTATTTGGGTCCGTGGCAAGTTACTTTTGTCGGCCTGTGAGTTCGGGCTTGTGCAGTTGCCTTTGATCTCACAGCTTCGCCTCAAGTGTTCCAGTTAGACATGGCAGTTTTTCAAAACCAAGTCGGTTATCTATTGTCGCATTTTTCTCCAGCCCGAGATGAAGCAGTTTATGTATATCGGGTCTTCTTCACAATCTTTAGGCGAACGTGAGCGCACTCGCTGGGGAAAGTTCAAACGGATTCGTGCAGGCAAGTCGGTATGTGGAGAGCTCAGTCTTTGTTGGCATCATCGTCGGTCCAATTATCACATGGCAATTCCTTTGCTGATCATGCATGTTACATGTTCCTCAAATTGACTGCCTTCACGCCATCGAGCAGACTTTCATCAATCTGCTCAACCTCGTCTCAACGCACCATGGGTCCGGCTGGTGAAGGCCAAGCATGCTCATATTGCCAATACTGATCCGGTCAGGTGTGTCCGCAGGTTTGTTACATCCTGGAGGGCTTTTCGGCGTTTTCGACGTCGCAATCTTCGGCTTACAGGATTAACACCGTCGGTTTTTCGATCTGTACACGTGGTGCAACCGATTGTGTATTGCGACCAGATTCTGTTTGATCTGGCGTCGGATGGCGTGAAATCCTTCCTCGCTCATCGCTCAGAAGTATCTCCGCAGCAATCGGGTTGATTCGGATGTACTGTACAGATTGTTTCGCATGGCCACCCACCTGGGCGACCCGTTTTATGAA